AGCCCCAGCCGGAAGAGCGCCAGGACAGCCAAGAGCAAGACCATGGGCGACAAGGAGTCCAATGATTCCACCGCTACAAGAAGAACATGACAAAGGCCGACCTGGAGAAACATCTGAAGAACGAGGAGGCTAGGCAGGAGTTCATGGGCATCTTGAAGTACGTCGTAGACCAGGTCATCAATAAGGGTGGCCACGCGGGCAAGATCAACTGGAACGACTTGGATCGCACATTAGAAGACATTCGAGTTAAGGCAAAGAAGCGGAGCCAAGTCGAGATCGCGGATGCGGAGGACGACTGGATGTACCTGGGCGCATGCAAGGCAGCCCATGGAGATCCAGCTTTGAAGCAACACAAAGTAATGAACCACCCAGAGAACGGAAAGCCGATCGTGATCATTCCGTCGGGCAAGCTTGGGAAGATCAAGAGATCTCACCTCGTGATGGCGGATGTGGAGCAACATGTGACGAGCGGCCAAGATGCAGAGTTGGCAGGCACGACGGCGGAGGTGGTCTGCAGTGGCATCTTCGCGAGCTCCGGGGGTACTTCAGCGACTGGCATGACCATGGACCAGCTACTGGGAAAGTCATCGTCTACGGCATCTCCAATGACATCGCCACTTAGGCCTGAGGCTCCAGCTCACTCTCCTGCAGCTGGGCCTTCATCCTCATCCGGCAGCGGGTCGCAGCTGGGCTTCGGTTTCATGATCAGTCCGATGAAGCCGATGGGTACGGATGGCGCCGCAGGCACGGAAGCTGAGGAGACCCCTGGATCGAAGAGGAAAGCCAGGGCGAAGCAAAAAACTGGGGCCAAGGCCGCAGCGAGTGGAAGCTCAGGCCCAGCGTCGGGCGCGGCAAATTCATCGGCCAGGGGCTTCGCTGCGCCCGGTGCTGCCAGTGCGAAGGAGGGCGGCGGCCGCGGCCGCAAGCCCCGAGACTTGATTGCTACCGCTGAGCTGATCATGAAAGAGCTTCTGAACGCACCTGCGGACAGTCCCAAGTTTTACGGCTCATCGAAACAGCGCGCCAAGGATTACATCGTCCGTTTCATGAAAGACCTGTCAAAGGCGAGGGGCAATATTTCAGAATCACACACCTTCGAAGCGATGAATCAGGCATGGCGTGTATTGAGCAGTTCTCAAGAAGTTCTGGTGATGATTAACTGGAAAGGGACATCTCATTCAGACTTTGCTACCACCTATGATGTGCAGTGTGAGAGCCTACAGAATCCGCCCAGCTGCACTGTCGAGTGGCTTATCTTCTGGAAGGTCGCTCGTTTGGAGCTGAAGTTACAAGATGATTTGAGCCGCGCCGTGATCTGGGACCATTTGAAAGATGAGAGCTTGCTCGCATTGGGGTTGGCTTCGGCGGCTTTCACGACGACCAGGGCGCAATGTATCGCGTCAAAGGTCGCCTCTGTCATAAAGGTGCCCGACTTGAACCTCATCGAGGCCACGATGGAGAATGCGTTTAGTGGGAACGGTTGGGCCAACGTTGAACGTGACCAGGGCCTGAAGGATCATCTCGGCGCGCTTCGCATCCATGCTGGCTCTGGTGGCATCAGCCCTGATGCGGTCGACCTCGCCATCCAGAAGATCGAGGCCGCGGAGAAACAGGAGGATATGGAGATCCCCAACTCTTTTTACAGGTTCAAGGGCGGCAAGATTTGGATCGCCGGCGTGAAGAAAGTCAACTCGTCCAAGCGTGGCGATGTCAAGTTCAATGCGAGCATCGCCGACGCTATCAGCGAGCGCAGCGGTGCTGTCACCATGGCGCTGCAGACAACTTCTATTAAGATCGAGGACGGGCATGGCAGCGGCATGTGTATAGCAGCGGCAATGGTACATGTGCCTTGCTGTGTGTAAGCGGGTCAGCGATGATACGAAATATCAAGGAAGTTCCCACTAACATGGAACGCGTTTTTTTTTTTTGCGTAGCTCATTTCACCGTCACTTCTTTCACCTAGCGTGCATGCGCACACTCTGCACGAATGTAAACACCTGCACGTACCATCATCGTTGGCTGTTAGCAGTATTGGTAGTAGTTTGTTTGAGTGGGTGTAGGTCAGATGTCAGCCTGCATGCGGATAGTGTTGAGGCAGGGGGCGACTTGTCATGCTATCTTGTTGGATGGGAGGACTGCAAGACAGCATGCGAATCACTGCTCAATATTGACGGCGTATTGGGAAGTATCGCTACTGGCGCAGGGATGTCGGCTGCCTGGGCGTTGAAGCCGAAGGTGGCCGAGGTCTTGACTTCATCGTGCAAGCTGACGCTCAAGGTGTGGGCGGCGAAATGTTCGAAGTACCCTGACGAGGCTGCCGCCTTCGGCGATCTCGCGAAGATCATCGGGGACATTCGCAACCTGCCCAGGCTGTTCGACGGCAGTTGGGACTCCGAGGTGGACAAGAGCGTCTTGCAGTCGGCTCTGGCGTTCCTGAAGTTCTTCCCCACGATGTGCGATGAGAAGGCCGACTGGGAAGATCGGCGCGAGGCTCTTCTGATGCAAAATATTGTCACGCGTGTACTGTCACGCCAAACATTGCACTGTTTCCCTGATGCAGTTGCCGCGTGGCATTTTGCCGTAGCACATACTGCATGCGCGCAGCGTTACATGGTCATGCTGCGTCCTCCATCCTTCCTCCTCCTCCCCCCACCCCCCCCCCCTCCCCCCCCCCTCCTCCTCGCCGTGATTCGTTCTCACCGTGGACGCCCGAAGCTTCTGAATTCTAAGTTCATCTACCCATCCTTCCCCAGAAGCACTCGCAATCATAAGTCCTCTTGCCCCCTAATCCCCTTCCGCGCGCAGGCGCTCGGGCGCTGCGAGCGCATTGACCTCGCGATCTTTGACCCTACCTTGTCCGATGAGGAGGTTGGCGGCGTGAGGGTGGCGCTATCTTCTTCTGCTGCCCAGGAAGCAGAGTCCGCTATCACGCAGAACGTTGTTGAAGAGGTCAGCCCCCATTTGCAAGCCATCGATCGTTCGCTGCCTCCCCTGAAGATTCGAGTGAACACGACAGGCGATCAGCCCCGACAAGATGATGGCGAGAACATTTCAGCTGTGCTGGCCGATATACCAGTTCTTTCAGAGGGGATGAAAGGAGCAACCCTTGATCAAGCCGCCGTCGTCGTTCCATTGCTGAACGCTGCCCGTGCTCGCGGTGACGATATTGCACGCATGCAGATCAATGTGATCCACCATGGACTTCTTGGGGGCGGGGGATTGCTACAGTT